GGGGGGGGGGGGGGGGGGGGGGGGGGGGGGGGGAGAGAGGGGGGGAGGGGGGGGGGAGAAAGAGGGAGTGAGGGGGGAGAGAGAGAGGGGGAGAGAGAGAATGTCTCCACATACAGGAGGGCTTTTTGCCGATTTAATTTCGTTAGGCTTACCATTGAATTTTTTGATGGCCACTTTGCATATCCAGCTACCATTTGATATTCACTTTGTCTGGAAATATCGTCAAGAATTAGATTAATTATAATTCTTCAGCACTGACCCTCTGACAGCTCCCGGTCCTTCAGTGCTGACCCTCCGATAGTGCCCGGTCCCTCAGCGTTCTGGTTGAGGCCTGGTTCCTTGTTTGCAGTTGTACTCACTTGCATGGCTTCCAACAGGTTTTGAAGCAACTGAGGACAGTAGTAAATTCTTGTGTCAACTGGTAATAACAGTGTCCTGGGAGTGAGAGAAACTGAGAGAGGTGAGCAAGAAAACTCTTCTTCCTGATCACCTTTGACCAATTCCTGCCTCATCCTGAGCACAGGCTCAAAACATTGGCCAATTTCCCTCCCAACTCAGCAACAGACCCAAGACCATGGCCAAGTCCCATCTCATCCTTATCTTGGGCACAAAATCCTGGCCAATTTCCCTCTTATCTTCAAGAACCTTCCTCAAAATCCTGACCAAGTCCCATCTCCTCCTCAGCAACAGGCCACAAGGGTCTGTAGCTCGTTCCAGGATATGTGACTAACCATGTATGTAATACAGGCCTATCACTAAAGCCCCACTTACCCCAAGAGGTGTGGTTGTTGTAATTGTAGCACTCCGCTACAGGGGGCAGTGGGTAGTAATTGTAAGTGCAGCTGCGGTGGGATACCATGGTGAGCTAGAAGTAAGAACAGATGCAGGTCTTTTGGAGGAGGTGAGTTGAAAAGAGAGAGGAACAGTCAGGGCCTGAGTGGAAAGATGTGTTGGGAAAGGCTTGGATTGCAATGTTGAGAGCCTGAGGAACAGGCTGGAGAACCTGAGGCCTAGAAATGCGAACATTAGCGACAAATCCAAGAGCCTAAGGCCTAGGAATGCCAACCTTAGCAATAGGCTCCAGAGGCTGAGGCCTAGAAGCATGAACCTCAGCAATAGGCCTGGGAGCCTGAGGCTGAGGAATGTCAACCTTAGCAACAGACTGGAAACCCTAAGGCCT